ATGCTGTTTAAAAATACCCTGTTGAAAAATTTTCCTGGTATTGAGAGAAGAGTGATGCCTCTGTAGTTATCACAGTTGCTTAAATCGCCTTTCTTTGGTATTTTGACCAGAAGTCCTTCTTTCCAGTTTGTTTGTACTTGTTCTTCATCCCAAATCTTGCCGAAGAGAATGTGGAGTATCCTTGCAGTTACTGCTACGTCTGCTTTCAGTGACTTTACTGGAATGTTTTCTGGTTCTGCTGCTTTGCCACTCTTGGTTTGTCTGATGGCCATAATAATCTCCTCAATTTTTGGTTGGCCAACATCCGTGGGTGCTACTTCGATGTTGGGTGGGTTCAGTGGGGCTTAGTAAAGTGGAGACAACAACTAAACCGAAATAGCATGACTTCATCATATTTTGTGATTTCTCGTAGCGATTAAAAAACTCACTAGACTTATGTACTTAGAGAGACAACAAAAAATCGGCCACTGCCTTGGTACATTCACAATTTCGAGTAAAGTAGTCTCTAATTACCAGTAACATTGTTGTTATTATTCTCACTGTTGTGTATTTTGTTACGTCCTTTCAGCTAAGTTAGATGTCATTTCATCAATATTGAAATTATTCTCAACTCAACTGTGATTTCTGCTTGCCTAATTATCAAAATTTACGTAAACCCCTCAATTCTTCAAAAATTATTGTGCAATCCGTCCTGTCAATTTTCGAATTTTAGACGATAATGATAGCTTTATTGAATACTATAACTTTTGGTGTAGTAAAGAATTTTCAGCCTCAAATGTGCAATATCACAACAAATATACTTCTAACATACTTGCAACTTGTGATTATTCAAAACATATTTTATAAGTGTTTTAATGGTTATTATTTCTTATCCATATATTGAATCATAAACGTTTTCCATCAGTTTAGAAGCTACAACTATTTTTTATCTACAGTATATGGGGTGTTTGAATTTCAATATATTTATTCGTCGGATTGTCAAAGGGAAATATCCCATGAACTGTAACTTTTCTGTTCGAGTTTCCCAATATTTAGCGTCGCAGTAATCTATAACCCTTTAATAACAGAACGTACATACATAGAATTAAGATTCATAATCCTTGATTTCGAACAGATCTATAACATTCACGTTGTTGTTTTAGCTTTATTTATTATCCCATAGGCCGGTTCGAATGCATTGAACATTACATACAATTTGAGATATCTCAGCAGCTACAGTTTTATCGACTTGTTCCAGAACAATAAGACTGGAATGAATCGGGAGCATATCTCATTGTCTCGAACCGGTTTACCCAGGGATGTCAAAACCTTGTGTAATAACCTCAGACTCTAAAAGAAACATATCTCAACGACTAGAAAAGTTTGATTGTCTGATGTTTCGTGACTCAGTGTAAGTCTTTTCTTCAGAGAATAAACAAATAAGCATATTAAGTTAACCGGAGCTAAAATAGTTCAAAGGAACGAAGCAAAAAATCTTGTACAGTCAAATAATCAAGGGGCTAACCAAGTTAGCGTCACGTCACTCCGGTCAAAATGATTATCATCAGACATTTGTTTTGGTGTCTAAGTTAATGGATGTGCAAAATGCAATAGTTGCAACGTAAAAACGTTGAGTTGAATTCGGATGTTTGATAATAGTGTGAGATATGAGTAGAATCAAATATGGTAACTTGGATAGATGGATCAGGTTGCATAGATGCTAAGGCATTTTTTTTTCTATTGACAACAGCAGGATATAGGGAAGTATGTAAAGCTTCAGCTAGTCGTCTTTCTTTGTGTTTAAAAAGCCTTTTACTGTTTTGATATTTTTAATATCAACTTGATAACTACTTAAAATAGCATTAACTACTATTGCCAACTCAATTTAGGGCTTTTCAAGTTCTGCGGGATTGTTAGGTGGCTTTTTTTAGACATAGTTCTGTGTTGACATAGAGATCCTATCTTTTATATGGACAAAAGCATTTCAAGGAGTCTTAGTTGCTTTGTGGCATGCTTTAATTCAGTGTTAAGACCCTTTGAAGTTCTTCTGTTGCACCGTGGAGGCATGTTGAAAATAGGGTATCAACCCATGGTATTTCAGTCGAACTACCACTCAGTAGTAGTCTAGTATTAGCACATCTTTAAAATCTATAGAAAAATTATTAAACTATAAGACGTCAATCATATGTTTCTGTTCCTTTTGTCTATCCTCTCCGGATGTACTAAACTTGGTCATTCTTCTATGAGATTTAGAGCAAGAGAATTTGCACTGAATGGAATTCAGTATAACGATTAGTCTGTTGTTTTACTATGGATGATTAGATTTACAGTTCCACATAGATTTATTTTAACTAAGCAATCTAAACATGACAGCTCACAGTGCTCATTTTCGTAATTGAATTTAATGTGGGATGAAAGTGAATTGATCAGTTTTAAAAATTTCATTAAGAACGTCTTTTTCGTGATGGCGAAAGTGTAGTCAATGTATCCAAGACAAAATTGTGGTCTAATGTCATTAGCGAAAATATTTCACTAAGTGTGACATAAACAGGTCAAAGATAATTTGGGACAAAAGGGATCGAACTGCCACTAAGTTAGTATGTATTTTGTCCGTTGAATGTAAAAAAAAGGTTAAATGTATGCATAATTTTAGGGATTTCATGATTACGTTAATGCCTAAAGAATATATAAGACTGAAAGTGTGGTCATTCTCTAGTAAACCACTAATAAACTCTAGACATCTACTAGTTAGAATACTAGTGTATAAAAATACATCATAGCTGACCATGATTTCATTCTTTTTGATAATTTATACCAAAATTTTAGACAAATTCATAGAAATCCTTAATTACATTTAATTTGTGTAGAAATAGCTTCAATATGCTGCCCAGATATTGAGATAACGGACATGTAGGGATGTTTTTGAAATCCACAACAGGTCTTATTGAGATGCCTGGTTTATGAATTTTAGGTAAACCATAGAAACATGCACTAAATGATTTAGGAAATAAAACAAAGAATAAGAACCTGGATAAATCGTTCTAGTTCTTTTAAAATTTTACCTGTCGTTGATTTGACTTCATTTTTAGTCATATAAATATTTTCTGAATTAATCTCTAGATACAGTCCTGTGGGTAGATGTTCAACAGCTTTTGCATAATAATCCTGTCTATTCATGACTTTTGCTGTATTGAATTTGTCAGCTTTATTAATTACAATAGTTCTGTCCTTTTGCAGTGAATGCAGAGCTTCCAATACTTCCTTTTAAGTATTAGGTGGAATGGGTTTCTTGTTTTGTCAAAATATGGGACTTTTTTAACGTAGTAAATGGGAACGTTGCTCGGTTAGCGCTTCCAGAATCAGAATCATTTATAGAGTGACTGAGTGGCTTTTTATGTAATTTGGGATTCGGTCATTCCTCCAGTAGAGTGATTTTATTGTTACCAAGATTTTTGTCTGAAAGATTATAAACAATCCTAAGGCCATTAGAATCAGGTAATATTATTGAAGCTTCTTTTTTTCTTCAATCTTTTCGTAATTTTTGGTCTTTTCGACATTTCAACGAATCCAAATAATGGCGTTCTCTTTTGATAAAAAGGTTAGAAATAGTATGACTGATAATATGTTTGAAAGTATATACACTAGGAAAAGTTCTCTTTCCAAACATATTTATTAGATGTCGTTTCTTGAAATATGGTTTCTAAGTAACAGTAACAAAAACATTTCGGGAGTATGTTATTCTATTTTTAAAAACACTTGAATTTTAAGCTTGTATAGCAAACTCATTAGTGATGTTTGCCGTTTTAGTAGAAAGCACTTGGCAGCAAGGATAGAATCAGACAGGCACATCATGAACACAGCCTGTCACAGATATCCATTAGACAAAGTTGACAAACCAGGTTAGTACGACGAGATGAAAGTAACAAGAGATCGAGATAATTTAGTAACAATGACAAAAAGAAAGGGTAAACCTTGGGAATATGGTTTTTAAAGACATGGTAAGATACTGGAATCCAAGATCGAGAAGAATATAAAGAGTGAATATATCTACGCCATTATGAATGATTATGAGCCACGTCAGCCAAAGTCTCTAACTACTGACCGCAGTTGTCACGCGAACCCTGACTGAAAAATGGAGTGAAATATGTGTTGGGGTGCTTTGAAATTGCTTGGATTTCTTAGGAAATTTTGACGAAATTAATCATACTAACAATATATAACAACAATAACGTAATTATTATTTGTTATTAGTGGAAATGTCACGTGCAAATACACATTACAGCAATAACTTTGAATGATGGTTAAACTGAGAGTTGTGTACAACATCAGTCTCTTGAAGTGACTGAGTTATTAAGCCAAAGTTTGACAACGTATTCATTTCATCATTGTGATAAAACGAAAATCATAATTTACCTTCTTCTTTCTCTTTTTAGTACACCTAGGACGATTGTCACTGTGTTTAACTGTACATATATTGATACAAATGATGGAGAGCATTGGTGTGATTGGTGAAAATGGAAAGCCCTATAAGTTTTGCATAAACCTTACTTTTATCCTTCAATGATCTAATACGTAACCCTCAAACAAACTATTTCGATTAAACAATCGGATTGCGCTTTATTTCTGTAATATATCCCATGCCAATTTCCTAATGGTTTTGTTTCTTGATATTTGTTTGATTGAGGTTTAAATCTCAGTTCTGTGAATAAATCATCATTTGGCCTATTTAACTAGTGATTACCGATTATTGATATTTTGCCTATATTAACAATAAACTGCTTTTTCATAACAAGCAGGAATATCGAATAATGTACCGATATATAACGTGAAAGTAGTAAAACTAGTCCGCAATCTAATAGAATTTAACAACTGAGCCAAAAGTTTCCAAAAATAGTAATACAATTACATTTACTATCAATAGAACAGTGAATCCAAAAAATATATTTCAAACAGAATTACTCGAAGTAAATCATAAATTACATTGATGATTATGTACATAATAAGAGCTACTAGTGAGCAGTTCACAAACTGGTAGACGAACAAGAATGTTCAGAAGCGATTGTTTTCATTTTCCATGATTTTATAAGTGATGGCCATAGAAGTTCAGCATTGAAGCATGCAGGACATAAAGCAGACAAAGGTATCAAGTATGATATTTCCAAACGATTAGGCACAGTTTCAGCCTGAGTCATATAGTTTGCTAGACACAATAAGTGCCACTGACCAAGAGGACAAGAACTTGGACAAGTAAGTGGTACTGAAGAATCAACCTGGATTTTGAATGTATGAGTGAGATTAATGAAAGAAAGTTAACGGAAAATACGGAAACGATAAGACAGTAACAACCATTTATGATTACGAAGAACTAGGGAGGGTTGAGAACACTTGTGTCATTGTTTGGCGAAGTCATGAAATATGATTATTTCTATCACATCAAGTCCAGTCAGTCAGCTACAACGTAGGACCAGGCACATATATGCATCGGTCCAAGTTGTCATACCTCATTAGCACAGCGATCATATCAAGTTAACTTATAAACGCTAAATACACAAACACCTAATGTTATTTAATCGTCAATCTAAAAATTTTAATTCCAATAGTACTGCATCAACGACATGGAGATAAAACCAACAATATTGGGAAGTGATTAGGTGAATGAATAGCAAACAAATTAAGATACAAAAAAGGACAGCGAGGATGAATTTTTGATATTTTGCCGACTTTGAAAGGAGGTTGATAGGTTTAACCTTTATTCTCTAAACATTTGAGTCACAACCCGAAACTTTACATCCATCTATACATGTAATAAAATGGTCGTCAACCACTTATTACACTGATAATATATTCTGGTTCAAACAATGTGATGCTGTTAGAATAAATTCTTACCCAATTTAGTCTAACGCTTTGAGACCAATAGTCGATATACATGTGCAGACATGTCTGTATGGGCATAGGCCATCAAATATGCGTACCCTTGGAAAATTTCATATTGTATAAGTAGAGAGCTAAGTATTGTTGGAAGCTATACTTGGCCCTTAACAAATTATTTATCTCATCGGCCCCAAAAATGGCAAATTGTGAATAACCCCAACACTATCCGTATCAATAATTAGTCAGCTATCAACTAACTAAGATTGATGTAAGCAAAAAATGTGAAGACATACGCATAAAATCCCTTTACTTCCTGCTTTAAAACTGGTAAATGAGGTAAATATGTTCCAAAAAGATACTTCTGATTTGCACGGTGGAAAAAATGTATCTATAATTCAACTACGGAGTCATTCATATGCTCTAGGCTGATCAAAAGATCTCTAAGCTGAAAACCTTTATTATTTTTAGCAGTTGATGAGAAGCGATCAAGGGTGAAATTATACATTAATTCGGTATGATAGTCGCTTATTATAATGCTTGATGACAATGACTATTTCTGTCATATATTCAACCAGTAGTAGATTTGTTCAGTAAGACATTCGCCCGCGTTATACTTATTAATATTTATCCAATAATCACCACAAAGAAAATAAACATATAAAAGGATAATATTTCTCCCTACAATACACTATTCGCAGCTACAGACAAAGGGACTTGTAAGATATGAAGACTTAGAACTAGTAATTATAGTTGATGTCGATTTGCATACCATCGGTTCCAGTCTGTTTAGGATTACCACACAAGTTTTGCTTCGCTATATCAGAACTCCATGTATAACAGATACATATAAGTGATGTGAATATTTTTGTAGAATACTTTTTATTATATACGACCACGTGATCACGGATATTTAAGTAGTTTACATATTAGATACGACAGCAATCGACAAACACTGCGACAAGACACTAAGATTAGCAAGGTCCACTACTGTCTTAAGAGTAACTAACATGTCCTGCAAACCACCATCTGCCTTCAATAGAACAGACAGGTAGTCAAGTAGTAGCTATCATGAAACCTTGTGCTAATATCAGACTTCAGAATAAATAGCCGTCACTTAGAAAGTACAGAAGTCCAGTCTTTTGATAACAATAAAGCAAGAGAATCGAAACAAAATTGAGGTGAAAAAAATATTAATTTAAATGAATGATTCATGAGATGTTGTAAATGAATGGTAATGTTTCGATTTCCCAGTGTCTAACTCTATTAAACTGCCTTTAAATCACGTTGTTTATGCAGTCTGCACGTTCAGCACTTATAATTATTACAATAAGTAATTCGATCGCGAATTCCTTTAATAACTACAAGCACAAATATTCATTGAGCTAATGCTTAAATACCAATATACAATGGTAAATTTTCACAAGAATACGATTATACACTAATCAAATATTTTCAGACAATTAGTCGGACATTTTCTGGTTAGTACAGCACCTAATTTAACCAACTTAGACTTTCTGAAAATATGATATTTTTAATATGCGCTATAAAGTGTTCTCACAGGCCAACCTTCTTGGTAAGCAATGTGCCTATTTATATTGTAAACGATAGGTGATTACGCCAAATTAAAAGCTCACATCATGTTGCTTGGTGGTCTTTGCGATTACGAATTCGATGAAGAAAATTGTCTGTTGTATTTTTTCTTCACGACTGCTGATCAAATGAATTTGGCCGCTCGTTTTTTTTAGATGTCGTTGGTTTGGACGGGACGTACAAAGCCAATAACGAGAAAGTCTATTAATATCAGATAGTGGCCCTGGATATGAATTTTATGGCAATACCTGTTTGTATTGCATTTATAAGTCGCGAAACATCGACTTTCCTTTCTCAATTCCTGTCGTTCTCCCGACGGTCAACTAACAATCGAGAGGTGGTAAGCTTTGAATAAAATGTACTCTGTCGACAAGTACTGACCAATTATAACGAAACGGAATGAAAAATTTGGAAAATGGGATGAAATTTTTCTAAAGGGGTGAAAAAAAATCAATTTAAAAAAGACTAGTATTTGAACGAAGAATATTCTTTTTTGATAAATTCTCTTCAGGTTCTACAATAATATATCAAAATTAATAATCCTAAAAATGTCCAGGTTAAGGGGGTTGACATTAGATGGACGGCTATTATGGTTCCCTACCACCCATTTCTTAGAAATTGTAGGGTGTGAAAGATAAATTTATTGATCGGTTATTGGTGTATTGGTTTTGCAAGTGTGTACTCAGTTGAAAACGAACAAAAATTTTGTCACCTTTAATAATTTTGTAATTGGTCGTAAACTGTTCATCTTAGCAATCTGAATAGTTGAATTCCTGAGGCTTGGCTGTCTTAATTGCACTGGGAAGTAATTCTCAATCGCAATATGTGTTAGAGAAATCTCCGACTGTAACCACCTGTCACAAATTGACTGTACACAAATCAATTTACTTCCTCCGTCTAATCGACTGTGACGAACCGCTGGATCTTCTACGGCCAGTTCTCCAACATACAAATTTAATATACGATTTCTGATCTCTGTCCAAATGAGAATCTCTCACCACATGATGACAGTACGTAGATCATTCATAAGTTCTGATAGCCGACTTTAACTGATTGTTCCTTAACATTGACCCATTTACCGGCATTGTAGAGAGTACGATCAGAAGTGATGTAACTGTTTTTTCGGCTGATGTTCACTCGAACTGTTGAAAGGTAAATGAAAATCTTCATAACATTATTTTGTAGTTTTAACAGTTATTTGTCGTTGATCGAAATATCCGACGAAACGTTTTTTCGATATGTAAGAGACCACTTACTGCCGAGAAAACAAAAATGGTCTACTGCTTTTCGACCATCAGCAACGCTACTTTAACAAGATAATACCAACTTCGTTGAGACAACTCATTGAATTTTGAAGAGGCATAAGCTGAATCGAAAAACACTTGTGTTGAGATCTATATTTAGTGTGCTACTTCGCACTGGATATTGGATGGAAGCACGAATGCAAAAGTATACATCGGACTGTCGGAATAAAGCGATTATTGGTCGGGAGCTACTGATACGTCGACTTCAGGAACGACTGTCACCAGCTGCATGTCAAATACTGAAGCGACACTTGCGCACTCCGATAACTGAGTTCGTAATGTCTGTTGATATCTTCACGGCTGTGGACGCAACCGGCACTTACACAGTCAACCGCAATACCTTTCAGTGTTCGTGTACTTTTAATATTGAAGACGGAATGCCATGTCGTCACATTTTGGCCTACTGCTCACACAGTAATACTGATGTGAACGTACAGTCAATTTGTGACAGGTGGTTACAGTCGGAGATTTCTCTAACACATATTGCGATTGAGAATTACTTCCCAGTGCAATTAAGACAGCCAAGCCTCAGGAATTCGGTGCATGCCTTAGTCAGGCGACTGTCTGAGGAACAATTCAGTTCAGTCTATAACCATCTTTATCAACTGGTTCACGGTAGAATGATACCAACGCCGTTGAACTTGTCTGCAGAACCGCATTTGCACACCGAACCAAGTACTTCCACGCACGTCCCAGTGCCCTTGATGAATGATAACTCAGTGCCGAACTACGACGGTAATGTGGATTTGGATGAAACGTTCAGTAACGACGAGGAGGAAGTAGTTTCTATTAACTCCGAAGAGTTCACGGAACGGGACATGGAATATGAAGAACAACATTACTATAACCGTTTGTGTGATATATGTCATCTTACACAGCCTCCATATGAAACTGGCGATGCAGCTGCTTGGGTTTTTTTGTCCTTGCGAAGCAATGTTTCATCGGTTTTGTGCTTACGACCCATCACCAAACCTACGTGCAGTTAACTGTCCGATGTGTGGCGCCATAACCAACTCATAGTTACGCCGTTATACAGCTACATCTGTATTAATAAGAGAACGAGTAAAGGCCCTATTCAGGGCCACCCACAATTTGATTTAAATTATTTCGTTTCCATCTCTTGTTTCTATGGCAAAGGTCAAATGATGAAGCACTTAATAATGTTAAATGAATTTAGATATTCATTTGAGATTAATAATCATAACGCGATTATCGCTCATGTATTCGTAAACTTTTTTATAAGGTTTATGAGATATAAAAGTTAAGAAATCTTATAGAACAATTTCTCATCTAATGAACACTAATCTAATAATTTTAGATTTAAAATAATGTGATTACCGTTCATGTATTAGTAACACAATTGTAATCTATTTATAATAATAATAGTACATTTTAGTAAATTTTAATAGGACTATTTCAATATAGTGAAAATTGTCATTTGGTCGTAAGGTCAATGAATAGAGGATTTGATGTATAAGTGAATATAATAATAAGATGATTAATGT